GACGCGTCGGGAACTTGCGGATGCACAGCAGCTGGCGCAGCTTGCTGAAGTGCGGCTGCTTGACTCGCAAGAGCAGCTGGAGATGGCCATGCTGGACAAGGAGGTCGCGGAGGAGAGGGCCGAGGGGGCCGAGGCAGAGTTGGAGGATGTGACGGAACGATTGGCCATCGTGGAGGTAGAACTTGGGGTGTTGAAGGAGGGCGGTGCCAAGGGCGACGAGGAAGAAGAGGCCGGGAACAAGTCGATGTCGGCTGGCAAAGACTCGTTGGCGTACATCCAGCTTGAGAAGCATAATGAGCGACTGAAGGAGGCTCTTCTACGGTATGTCGCGATCTACGTCGTAATATTGCTCGCTCACTTTTGTTAGATTACGAGACATGTCGCAGGAGACAGAGCAGGAGCAGCGTAAACGGATCACAGAGATGGAGAAAGACATTGTTGGGCTCGACGATCTACAGTGTACGTTTGACTTTCGGCTTACCCAGAATCTGCGTTCTAATATTCTGCAGCCAACTATGAAACAACCCAAATCAAACTGGCCAATGCGGAAATTCAAATCGAGGATCTGAAGATGCAACTCGACGATGCACTAGGTGCAGAGGAAATGCTCGTCCAACTGACGGAACGTAACCTCATGCTTGGCGAGGTGTGTTTAGAACGTCTTGTTTTTTCGTTTTTGCACTCAAAAACTGCGTAGAAAATCGAAGAGATGAGGATTACAATCGAAGACCTTGAGGCGCTAAGAGAGCTGAATGACGAGCTTGAGGAAAACCATGTGGAAACTGAGAAGGCCATGATGGAAGACCTCGGTTCGTTCTCAGTTTATTTACTCCCGCCGAAATTCATCTTGTTTCGAATGCAGAGGCCAAGGACATGCAAATCCGTGAACACGTGCGTAAGGCCGAAGCATTGGAAGAGGCGTGCGTCGATCTCGAGGGAACCATTGGGCAGTTCAGAGATCTAGTCATGCAACTGCAAACGTATGTGTGGATATCCAACTTTAGTGGCGTTGTTCTTACTCGCATTATACCAGCGAACTCGATGGCCTCCGCGCACAAACACAAGTAGCGCAGACCGAGTCCCAGACAGCTGCATCTCAATCCGCAGCAATCATGTCCCTGAATCTCAAACTCCAGTCGTCCGCCTCGAAGAACCAAGCGAAGAATATTGAGCTCGAAATCAAGAGGATGGAGGCCCGGGAAACGCGCGAGCTTCTTAATATCGTCCAGGTAGCCCATCTTTCCTTCATCCATCATCTCGAAAGATCTGAACTGGGCGCTTTTAGCCATACCTGCCCCAAATATACGTCGAGACGGACAGTGACGCTACAAGCTGCTATCTGTTCTTCCAGCGGTTGGCGTACAAGGCCGATTTGATCACCACGGTCGTTTCGCAGAATAATGGCTTGCCTGACTCCCTGAGTGGCTCTGTCTCCGATGCGCTTGTCGGCGTCTGTGATGTGAGCGTTAATTTGTTGTCACTTGACTAGACCCCCTAAAGAATGCTCTAGATGCGCGGCCGAATAGCCGCTCTCTCAACGTTGTGCAAACGCTTCACGGCAGTGATGCGCAGATGCGATGTCGAATCATTCCTGAACATCGGCCGGCTGTATCAGGAAATTGCGCCCATGGAGAAGCGTTTGGATATGCACATCGATCTCTTGCGGAGGGACGAGTTCCGCGAGATGGAGTGTGTCAGCGATGTTGTCAAGTACGGTTCTTTGTGTACCGTTCGTTTGTTATGCTCATCCATTCTCCCCACTCCAGGATCAGTGCACAATTCGACCACCTCGCAGAAACGTACTTTAATGGATTCGACCACGACCTGGGAGAGCGCGAGCTGGGGTATCTCATATCGTTTGACTTGGATCTCGATATCTTTGCTGCGTCGATCGGAATGACCAAGACTTCTATCGCTACTCTTGTGCAGGATGATGGTAGATGCTTCTTGCGATCCTTGAGTCTGTGCCTCATAATAGTGACTAGAAACGGTTTTGGATCTCGGTGGTTACGATATTGATACCGAGCTGTTCGAGCCGCTGCAGCGACTCTTGGACCAATACAAGGGAGCCAAAGCGTTGTCCAAGTAGGTGTTTTTGACCGTTAGCTCGCTGGACACCACTGAGTGTCTCCCTTAGGAAGCTGACTAAGCGACTCGAAGATCTCATACAAGACTCGGCTGCTCTTAAGGCGCATCTGGTGCCGCAAATGAAGGCACTCAGCAACTTTGTACCAGAACTTGTCAACTTTGGTATATCGGTATGTTGCCCCCTCGTACTCTTGTCTATGATTGCTTATGGCCCTTAGTTTGCGCAACAAATCATGCCTCACTTGAGCGACGTGCGGAGCTCCAAGACGCCTTTCCAATTGACCACGATTTTGTCCTTCGTGAAGCAAATTGCTGCTTCTACAGTGGCGAAGGACATCAAACCGGGAGTGAGCGCCTGGGAGGCCATAGGGGAGTCTATCACGCAGCTTGTGCAGGAAGGAAGCAAGCTCCTCCCTCTGACTCTCGAGGCCGAGAACGTGATTAAAGGTGAGTTCTTGATATCGAGTTGTTCCAGCGTACTCATCATCTTCAGTCTCTGGCGTATCCCCTTGGGTCACCCGCGTCGCGGAAGTCAAAGCGAGCACTGCCGTCAACCTGGAGGCTGAGCGTCGCGTAACGCAGCTCAACGAGGAACTGCAGGGCCTCGTGCGAACTCTCAAGCAGAAGGAGCAACACATCCAGGAAGCGACTGTCAAGAACGACTTGATGGAGCGGAAGATGGAGACAGTCAAGAGACAGGCCGATTCAATTGCCGAGAAGGACGTTACCATTGCGGACGGCAAGCGTCGTCAACGCGAGCTGGAGGAGGCGCTCGAACAGGTGCAGGGAGATCTCGATGTGTCGGAGCAGGAGCGGTTGAAGTTGAAGACGCTTGTCGGCAACGAGCAACGACAAGGTTGGTGCTGCAAAGCTTTTTGAGATGTTTTTCTCATTTTTCATTTAGCTTCGGGGACTGTACCTGTCGAGCCGGACAATGTGCCTGTGGAAGGCAGTCTGGAAACATCACACTTACTGGAACAGGTATGTATGACCCCCATAGAAGTGGTCTGTGCTGATGTAGTCCACCAGATCGATGCTCTTCGTGGTACCGTACGGTATCTCCGCACCGAGAACTCCTACCTCAAAGGACAAGACCTGCTTCGCGAAATCGAGGCACTGCCACCTCTCCCAGAACCCGTCAGTCGACTACCTACGCCACCCCTCGATCCCTCGGGTCTGTCCGACTCGGACGATTCCGATTCGGAAGACAGACCGCGCTCACCTCCTACGCTGCGCTCGCTGGCAACGGAGACGAAGATACTTTACCGCGATGTCATCATGTTCTCCTCATCGCCACGGGTCGTTGATCTGTCTGTGCTCAACGCCAAGCGGGCACAAGCCACCGGGGGCCGCGTGTGGATGCCCAAGAAAAGCATGCCTGCGCACCAGGTGTGGGAGCGGAAGATGGAGGCGGAGCGGCTCAGCAGACGTGTGCGGGGGTTGATGGATAGAGCGAGCACCATCGGTGGGGATTCATGACAATTTATGGTTCGACGTTTTTGATTATCTTATTCCCTTCCTGCATGTTTTCGATTTGTCGCTATACCCTGCATTTTATTACCACTATATCGCATATGTTACACATTCAAGTAGAACACCATTATGGACCGGATAATACCAAAGCGTTGGCGAACAAGTGTACGTTGGGAGAAAAAAACATGATCTCGAGCGCGGATTACAATTATATTGTATCCTCACGTTAATATTCTCACCCTCAGTAGATTCACGATTAGTATTACACATCAGTGGGTGACTTTCCATAACGATAGAATAGTCCTACGCAGTTTCTGAGCTAAGGTGCCAGTGATGGGATCATTGTGCTAGATATCTAATACATTGCCAGCATTCGACCTGTGTTTCCATAAGAAAATAAAAGTAATAATATTTCGTACATGTAAGAGTCTGGAATAAAATCAGAACCCATTAGGGCCACGCAAGCCTCGAGAGGCAGTCGGAGTCTCATTGAACTGCCCAAAATGGGTCGTTGCATCTATGAAAATCTGTTTGGGGGTCACCAGCCAGTGAAACACCACCGGCCAGTGAAACAGTCAGTTATCATGCCTGATTACACCCCCCATTTTGAATGTTAGACACCACAACAATTATGTGATGTTAATATGCATGCCATGTATCTGTGTAGAGAAGTTGGGGCTCCTGGGTAACCTAAAATCAAGTCCACAAAATCTTCTTTCCAGATCACGCTCAATTGAGACTTGACTGTTGATCTCGATTGACCATTTATAGTATTTTGGAAGGATTTTTAGGGGTAGATTGAGGCCGATGATGACTTGAAATATATTTCACAAAGTTATTCTCCCTGAGCTGCAGTCTTTAGACAGTTTCACAATTATTTCAATGACTGATGAGTTTAGCTGCTTTAGCAGGAGTCCGCTTTGGAAATGATCGGTCACAGGCGGCGGCCCATCCAAATTAGGAAGTCAGTCCGCCAAAAAAGTCGTACTGTTCTCGACGGGTTCAACATGGTCGGCCACACTAAATCGAATGGAAGAGTAATGTTATATGTTTATATGTGATTGAAAGCTCGAAACGTAACCAAAGGAGCGCATTTATGCCATCCGGTTTAAGCGCCCGTCCGGGAATCTCCTAGTGGCATTTCTTTGCCCTGGCTCTTGATCAGTTCTTCCTTAAAAAATAAGATATCTTGGGACAGTCATATTTACATTGAATGAGATAGTTTTGTATCTTGGAATCATCTCAAATATCCTAAGCAAAAGCCAGATCATGACATTCGATCGACTGTTTCACTCGCCGGTGGATCACTGTGCATTATTACATAGAGTTCAACCCGCCTCAGAACTTAGAAGGCTGAAAAAGAATATGAAAAAGCTGTCAATATTCAACGTTCAACTTGGTTTGGGACTACAGTAAAACGGCGATCGGAGAAAAAGATGTGCCCTCTGAGAGGGTCGAACTCTCGACCTCCAGATTGTATGATTAGGTAATCACTCAGGCTATGAGACTGGCGCTCTAACCAACTGAGCCAAGAAGGCCTTAGGAATCTGGCTTTCTGATACAATGAGAGCCTGGGGCAAGCTCTCTGTCCAACAACCAGCAAAAACGAATAACAGGTTGTGGAGAAACAGTAAAAACAAAAGTTGATGTGGAGTTGCTAAAGGCCCCAAATCCTAAAAATTTGTTGTGATTTGTTACCAAGTATCTAGAGCACAGAGTGGCCATAGGTGGCCACGGGATGAGTGTACAAGCATACAGAACATGTTTCTCATAGGCAGAGTGCAGGGTGACCATTCATGGCTGTGGAATGAGTGTTTGAGCAGGCAGAACATGTTTCTCATAGGTGGAGTGACTCTGCAAGCCAGCAGACTGTGTATTTTGTGGTTGCTTGTGGACCAAGTTTCTAGAGCATGGGGTGACCATACATGGCCACAGAATGACCGTAGGACCTTGCAGAGTGGTTTTCTGGTGAGGAGAGTGTCATGGACTGAGTGTAGTGGGTGCAGAATGACTGTAGAGTGGTTTTCTGTTGAGCAGAGTGTCATGGACTAAGTCTAGTGAATGCCGAGTGAGTCTCCAGTGTCATATGAAGTTGTGGACTGAGTCTAGTGGTCGTGGTGCCATATGAAGTCGCGGACTGGGTCTAGTAAGGGTTTGAGCTTGTCAGCTGGTGTCTTGAGTATGCTGCATAATGGTGGGCAAACATAGTGCAGCCTCACAAGGCACTGTAGAAATGGGGTGTGGGCATCGGCCAGAACATGGGTGCTATGCAGACAGGGCATGGGTGTCAGTATGCTGCACCAGCAGAGTGTAGGTGCAGTGTGTACAGGGCACAGGTGCAGTGGTGTGGGCACAACAAAAGCACACTTCTACACCACTATTTTGGAATGATGTGGCTGGAACATCAACTTGGGGATCATCAGTGACAATTTTCTTGTGATGTTTCTGGGAGATCAAATGGTGCATGTCCTTGGAACATTATGCGGTGTGATGGGGACTGCAGTTCTACTGGATGCAGGGTAGTATTTGCAAGTAAAGTAGTGTTCGTCCTCTACAGGGAATGAATTTTACAGCCTTAAGTTGCAATGGAAGGCTTAAGTCTTGTGCTAGTTAAGAATCCCCTGTGCCTGTTTGAATGATAGTTAGTTGGCTAATGTGATACCTATGATACACCTGATGGGGGTCTGGAGTTCCCAATAATACTGTTTCGCACTACTGGTACACAGCAGAATCGTTTCCAGTTGTGTAGGAAGCACTAGGTCGCCCTTTTTAAGACCCGTATCCTTCACTGGTGTGATGGGGACTGCGGTTCTACTGGATCCAGGGTAGTATTTGCAAGTAAAGTAGTGTTCGTCCTCTAGAGGGAATAAAATTTACAGCCTTAAATTACAATGGAGGGCTTAGGTACTGTGCTTGTTAAAATTTCCTGTGTGAATGAAAGTTAGTTGGTTAATGTAATAGTTATGATCCATCTGATGAGGTCCGGATTTCCCAATAATATTGTTTTGCACTACTTGTACATGGCGGAATCGTCTCCACTTGCGTAGGAAGCACTAGGTTTCCCTTTTAAGTCCTGTATCCTTCACTGGATGTGTTGATACGAATCTGGGGCCTTCCTGGAGGATAGACAGTGAATTCTGTTCTACAGGCAGAGCTGTTAAAAAGCCAATGTCATGATGCAGGTTCGCTTTGTAAGCCTTCAAGGATGTGTAGTTTTTATGGGTTTTAATGGAATGGATACTGTCTGCTTTTGAAAGCAGTGGAAAAATGATGTCTGCAGGTCTTCCATCATGCTCCATGGTACCGTGACTGATTAAACATAGAAGGCAGATGCTTCAACAGGCTACATGAAGGATGTGGATGGCTCCTTGGAGGGTCCACACACTTCGAAACACTAATATTGTTGACAGGTTTTGAAGCAGAGAATGGATCTGGGTAATTGATTTGTTTCCGCACAGTTGTTTGGGGTCAGAATGGATCTGTAGCAAGGACTGGCACCATACCAGAGCTCTTTTGGAGCTTTACGGTATAAAATCTGTTGGTGGGCAGTGCCTCTCAGGACCTGGAGAGGACTGAAGAGTTTGTGAAGTGCCTAAAGGACAACACTTCTGGGGATTATTCTTGTTCAGAATGGAGGATGAGTAAAGAAGAGAGCCCCTGGTGACCAGTGAACTCTATAGATTGGCAGGTTCCTACCATTCCGCTCTAGTCTAGGACAGTAGCAGAAAGCGGGGGAGTTTGGAGATGCTTTCTCCAGATACAGTAGGTGGTATTTATACTGTTTCTAAAGTCCATGTGATTTTCCTTTATTCCGACAACTCCATTCATCTTTCCGACAATCGGGAACAGGTCCCCCTCTTCCCACTCTACTTCCTAGTCATGTGGAATCATTGTATGAGCTTGTGGACTTAGTTCCTAGTATGCGGAATGGGTCTGCGAGCCAGCGGTATGTCTGTCGGACATGTCAGAGACATCTGTGGTGTGTATCTTGTAGGAGGAGTGACTCTGCAGTCAGCTGAGAATGCAATTCTTGGTCGGACTTGGCTATAGACGATCACGGAGCATGGCAGAATGATCCTGAAGCCAGTAGATGGTGTAATTGTTGGTCGGACTTGGTCGTAGACAGTCATGGAGCATGGCAGAGTGACTCTGGAGCCGGCAGACAATGCAATTCTTAGTCGGACTTGGTTGTAGATGATCACAGAGCATGGCAGAATGATCCTAAAGCCAGCAGATGGTGCAATTGTTGGTCAGACTTGGTCGTAGATGGTTGCAGAGCGTGGTGGAATGATCCTGAATGCAGCAGACAGTGTAATTGTTAGTCGTACTTGGTAGTAGACAGTTGCAGAGCATGGTGGAGTGACTCTGGAGCTGGTGGATGATGCAATTCTTGGTCAGACTTGGTTGTAGACAGTCGCAGAGCGTGGCTGAGTGACTCTGGAGCCAGCGGATGATGCAATTCTTGGTCGGACTTGGTTGTAGACGATTGCAGAGTGTGGCGGAATGATCCTGAAGCCAGCAGACGATGTAATTGTTGGTTGGACTTTGCTGTAGATGATTGCAGAGCGTGGCAGAATGATCCTGAAGCCAGCAGACAGTGTAATTGTTGGTCAGACTTGGTCATAGACAGTTGCAGAGCATGGCGGGGTGACGATGCAATTCCCGGTCGGACTTGGTTGTAGACGGTCGCAGAGCGTGATCTTATGTGTAGGACGTTACGAAAGGAGACTGTGTGGGTTGGTGTCTTGTCTATGTTCACAATAGTGGGCAAACATAGTGCAGCCTCACAGCAGAATATTATACAGACATTCTGAGGACCACCAGGGACATTTTATTTGGATGTCCTCTGAGTACTTTGAGTGTGCATCCACAAACCACCAAGTCATTCCATCAAATGTCCATGTGCATCATGAACTCAAGCTCTGCCACCCATAAACTTGAACCATTTTTGTCATCTCATTGCTTTATTCCCTCTTAATAACCTCTTCACCCCCAATCACTTCCCACCTCTTTCCTCTTCAACCTCACACCACCCATCGTACCCCTCAACGTACAGCATTGCTATGGTCCATTCAGCATCCTACCACTATGCCACCATATAGTGAGCACACTACACAGGTCTTCACTGGCAGCCACTGCAGATGGCATTGAGAGTCTGGCCTTAAGGTACACATCCTACCTGTTCCCATTGTCACACCATTCTAAGTACCATTAGCTCAGCCCTACCTGTTATGCCATATCCATTGCACATGCAGTGGCAATGCTGAGGTGTGCATGTGAGGAACTGCACTGGGGAGCCCTTATGTAAGCAAGCCACTCCTTTTGCTGTATGCTCAACTCTCCTCAATTATGCAGTGGCATTTAGTCTCTTGTTGTCCCCCTGTTGTCCAGACTTGCATCTATGTAAACTACCTACTGTGTATCTAGAAAGTGCAATTGAATAAATCTGATTTTCCCCCCAATTTACCGGATTTTAATTGTGCCTAATTGATCCTCCTGAAGTGATCAAAGTGATATCCGAGCATTGGTGGCTGTATATCAGCATGGAATGTCCCGGGGACATCAGAGCTAGAATGTCCCAGGAGCTTACAGATTCTGGGCTGCCTGTGAATTGATGATCTAATGTCCAGCAGACATCCATGACTGTCCCAAATGGTGTAGGCATGACACTGCTTGAGTTTTATGTTTCCTTGGCATTTTAATAAAAAGATGGCCAATCAGCAGCAACTCTCCATATGTCATCAATTTGCACATATGTAAAATCTACCTCTGTAGCCATCACATGTAAATTTTACATGCCATAACTTTTCCCCCCCGTATGATTCAACGCGCGCGGTGCATGAGGCCATTTCCTAAACATGGTGCATCATGTAAAAGACATTGAAGACAGCAACAGGATCTCTTGAGTTCTTAGTCAAGATCTTGAAGTTAAACTTGAGCTTTCCGTGTCTTGAAGGTCCTGATACGGGCCTTGAGCATCGCCAGTACGAGTACCTCCCAAGTCTAGTCCCCATACAACCTCAACGTCGTACCGAAAACACTCCCGTCTTGAACTTGGGTCTTTGAAGGTCTTGTCGGCACCAACATCTTGAGGGTCTTGTGCATCACCAACCAAGCCCTAGAGATGCCAACCTGCTTTGAACATCGCCAGCGCAGGACAGGCACTGGTTTGGGTGGCTTTGACTATTGTCCAAAGTACTCATGCCGAAGGAGCGCTCCCCTTCTTGGCAACAGCAAGAGGTGGCATTCGGCAAGCCTTCGGGAGTCTTGTACGGTCTTGCAATATCAGGATCCTGTGCGAAGGATCACTTTGGTGGCTGCGGGTTTTGCGGTGTAGTGACTGTTCGAGTCCTTGAGGATAACAGATCATGAGCATCTGCTGCATCTGAAACACGTACCACATGCCAGCCTATGCCAGCCGCGGGCTCAGCAGCTGACATGAAGGGGTGGCATCTGAGGCAAGCAAAAGTGGCCACTAGCGACGATTGGCGTTGATGTGGTGCAAAGCGTGGGTGCAACTGCGAGTAGGGCACCATTT